AAACTTTAGGGGTTCTTGCTTGTCCGTAATTTCCTTGATGATACTGGTTCATTGTCTGTACCCCTACTGGGGATTTGGTTTGATTGTTAAATGAAGCTCTCAGGAGTCTGGCTAAAACGAATTCCCCTTGGTCAATGAAAGTAAAGGATAAAAGCGAGTCACCTTAAATGATCTGTCAAGTTGTAGATCTTTGCTCAACTCCTTTTGTTTTTGTTGTTACTTGATTTGTCACTTAGCTCTATAAAGCCATCATATAGAAGGTTGCTTTGTACTCAACTTTAGCTATCTGTTACAAGTAATACTAATTAGCTCCAGGGTGAGAATCAAAACTGCATTTCTCGAAGATGAGAAGTACTTCCTGAATGTTGAGAGCTTTATCTTAAGAGATATTTTCATATTTCAGTTAACCTCCTCGATGATACTTCTTTTGATATATCTTTATTTCCTCTAGCAGAAATGGTGATTCCTCCACCAGTTAGACCAGACAGAGTGCTGAAGTATCTCAAACCTTACGTGCTGAGGATGCACTTCACAAACAAGTATGTAAATGCTCAAGTAGTTCACACACCAACAGCAACAGTGGCTGCTTCTGCAAGCTCACAAGAGAAAGGCTTAAGGCTTGCCATGGTAGAATCAAAAGAAAATACTAGAGACGTTGCTGCTGCAGCAAAAATAGGTAAGTTGTTGGGAGAGCGGTTGCAGGCTAAAGGAGTTCCTGCCATATCTGTTTTCTTTAAGAAAGAACAAAGATACCATGGAAAGGTCAAAGCAGTAATCGATTCAGTCCGAGAAGCAGGCATAGAATTGGTTTGATTGGATTCCCTTTTATCTCCCAGGCAAAGGATTTATATGTTTTATTAGCTCTACTTGGACAATTTGCTTGCCTCAGTTCTTGCAATTTGCAATGTATAAGATGTCACTTCTGACATTCCCTGTGTTTTGAAGCTTCTATACCAAGAACAAGGTTCATAGCATCCTCCCCCCCCGACACGCGACGTATTTTTCATAACAAGAGTTGCCTGATACTTGTGAATCCTATTCATCATTGGGTAGAAAGTTCATTTAAAAGCTTCAAAAATCTGAATTTGATTACTTGTACTCCTGGAGCATTAAATAAAAACGTGTTATGCTCTTGGACATTTTTAAAAGCTTTTTGGGCGCTTAAATGTACTTTGCATAGCATACAATGAGCAAGGGTGGGTTTGGCACCTCGAAAGTATAGTTCAATGAGTAATGTAAATTAGGTGTAGTTTAAGTATGAAATTAGTAAAATGTAACAGTTTAAGAGCGTTTAACATTTGGGTACGGAGTCGGTTTTGTCAAGGGATAAGAGTGTTACCCCTAGTGCGAGGTTTTTTGGTGTGAATTCAGATTTGGTTGGGTTAATGGGTACCAGACAAAAAAGGAAGAAGAAAAAACACTTGAAAGATAAAGTTTAGAGATAACGTAAATTAGAAATAATGCAAGTATGAAATTAATAAAAATGCAGGACTTAAGAGAAATGTTAATTCATTATTTCTTCCAAATTTGATTAGCATGATACAATTTTAAAGGCGTGACATCAAAATTATCAAATCACATGTACTGAAACTGAATAGAGAAATAAAACCTTGCCAATTTTTCATGTTCATTTGATATGATATTGATATTACTACTCCATTTCTCCCTGTCTTACTTCCTGTTTTTTTTTGTTTTTTTAGTCTGTATATATATGGTAAAATTTCCAGTTTCACTATTTTACGTGGCGATTTTAAAATTACAAGATTTAAAGAAGAACTATACACATTTAATTAAAATTATAAAATGTAAAAGGCTATCATAATTTTTTAAAGAAGTATTGAAAACACTCCTGAATTTAATGCAAATTATTAGTTTCGTCCTCGAACTATTTACAACTTTAAAAACACCCCTCTAAACTTAGATACATCCCCATACACCCTCGATCTGCCACATGACATAACAAGTGACTCAAACTCTTGTAAGAGCACGAAACTCTTAATAATAAGTCGAGAGAACTAAGAAGTGTTCAAAACATTCCTAAACTTGATGATGATTTAGGGGTGTATTTCACTCATATTGCAAGATCGGAGGTGTATTGAAATTCAGTTAGTCAAGTAAAGGGTTGTTTGTAAGGCTGTCAATAGTTCAGAAATCAGGACAGAGGGAGTAATATCTTTGCAACTAAGGGTATTCACGGGTCTGCTATTGATAAAAACTAAAAATCAAAACCAAATTAATTTAATCGATTTTTAAATTATCAAAACCAAACCAAACCAAACCAAATACAATATACATTTATCGGTTTGGTTGTTAATGGTTAGTTCGGTTATTCGGTTATTAACCATACACAAAAATTCAAAAAGTGCTTCATTCAAAAGAGGGGAAAAAGACGACAATTCATTCAAAACGAAAAATAATTAAAATGACTAACAAAACTTTAGAGCACTAAATTTAGTGTGAGTAAACCTTCTAAATTCTCCATTTTGACCTAGAAGAAAGAGATCGTGACATTTCTAGTCCACCAAGAATTGCGATAGACACTTATATATATAGAATCAATAAGATAAATGCTCTCGTCTTGGATGTTTTTGCTTTAATAAATAAAGGGAAAAAGGACAAATATACCCCCAAACTATCGTAATACCCTCCATCATACTTTTGGGACATTGATGCCCCTGCCGTCCATAAACTAGAGCATATATACTCTTTATTCTAATGGACATACACGTGTCACAGTCTTATCCACCGACTTGACATTTATTAAATATCAGATCGACGGATAAGATTGTGTCACGTGTCCCTATTTAGTCTTCCATTAGAGTAAAGGGCATACATGCTCTAGCTTTTGAACGGCAGGGGCACCAATGTCCCAAAAGTATAACAGAGGGAATTTGCATACCATTTATGATAGTTCAGGGTATATTTATCCTTTTTCCATAAATAAATTATAAATAAAAATTGTTAAAACTATATATAAGATATTTAAAGTTGTTTTTAAAAACAATATATTATGCATGTATAATAATAAAATATAAATATATGATTTATCGATTCGGTTCGATTATTTCTTCAATTTTCTTTAACAAAATCAAAATCAAACCAAATACTATCCGTTTCTAAAAATCTAAAATCAAACCAAATTCAAACCCAAATAAAATCTATTTATTTAATGATTTAGTTGGATTTTTCAATTGAATGGATTTTTATCCAAACATACAACCAAAAAATAAAAAACAACATATAGAAACCCAAACTTTTAACCGATTCGAAATTGCAATTCTAGGGTTCAATAACATTTGACTTCTTCTTCCCAGTTCTAGTTCTAGCCAACCTACTCCATTCGCCATTGTTGATCTTTTGCTGCATTCTGTTTTTAGCTGAAAAGGGAAAAACAGAGTATAAAACAAAAACCCCATCGTCCAAATCCTCCATAGCCATTGAAAAATCGCCAGAAAACTATGTGGAGGATTTTTCATGGAAGAATCACAAGATGTATTGAACAAGCTACATTTCACAGACATTACTTCAATTCTCATCTTCCTCAGAACAACCTAATCTTGATTCAAGAACTCACTGAAATTCTCAAAAACAAGAAATGGAAAAGCCTCATTAAACTTGCAAGCTTAAAAAATAAGCTAAACCCATATGTGGTTCGGTCTGTTCTTCATCAAGATCAATTGAGTAATCATCTTGAACGCCTCCTCAGTTTCTTTCAATGGTCAAAACACAAAGTGGGTATTCAGTCAGATTTGGAAATTCACTCATTTTTAGCTGCTCGTTTATGTAGTAACAATTTGTATAGTCCTGCTAATTCTGTTCTTGAAAATGTAATCAGGTTTGGTTTGCCCCCTTTGGATGTTTTGAAATCTATTGATAATTGTCGTAAAAATTTTGATGAATCGAGAAAATTTGATCATGTGGTATTTGGGTTGTTGATGGATAAGTATAGGGAGAAAGGGTATTTGTTTGAAGCTGCTAGTGTTGTTTTTGCTCATAGTAATGATCTTGATTGCATCCCTAGCTTGCTGTATTGTAATCGTTTGTTGACGGATCTGTTGAAAGATGGTAACTTCAGATTGTTTTGGCGAGTTTGTGATGCAATGCGTGAAGCAAATGTTACATTTAATGCCCTTACGTATACTAGTATGGCGGATGCTCATTGTAGAGAGGGGAATGTTAGTGATGCCAAGGAAGTATTGGCTGAGATGGAAGAGAAGGGTCTTTGTTCAAGTAATTTTACCTACAAATTTTTGATGAAGGGTTTGTTTAGAGCTGGGTATGTGGATGAGGCAATTGAGGTTAAAAAGAGCATGTTTTCCAAGTCGTTAGTCCCTAATCGATATTTTTATGCCACATTTATTGATGGGCTTTGTGCTGCGAATAGATTTAGAGAGGCAATAATGGTATTAGCTGAGATGTCTGAGATGGGAGTGAAGCCTGATGCAATGGTTTATGAAGCTTTACTTGATTGTTACTTGAGACATGATGATGTGGATGAGGCTTTTAAAATTAAGGATGCTAAAGGCATTACTTTAGCCCTGTGCAATACTCTTCTTCGTGTGCTCTGCAAGTGTGGTAAGATGGAGAAGGCAAATGAACTTGTGGATGAGATGACTAGAAAAGGTATCAAGCCTGGTTCGACAACTTATGCCTTGTTGATTGAGGGACATTGTCAGTGGGGTAATGTTGCCACTGCCTTGGAGCTTCTTGAAGAAATGAAGAAGAAAAATCTGGCCTCTGTTAAGTCAACCTATTGTGTGATAACTGATTGTCTCTGCCGCAATAAGGATCCGAACACGGTTATGTCTTCTCTTCCAAACTTGATAATGAAGAAAGGGAAGCGAAATGCTCATACGTGGAGAACTTTATTGATGAATTATCCTGGTAAAGGCCACTTACTGAAGTTGAGAGGGGTTGTGGAGGCAATGCATAAGCATGGGATTGTGCCAGCTACTCCCCATTACAATATTCTTATAAAGGGTCTTTGCGAGACGCGGAAGATGAAAGCTGCTCAAAGTTGCTTGGTTGAAATGCTGGATAAAGGCCTAAACCCTGACCAGGGTACTTATGAACCCTTTATCATTGGATATTGTCGAAAAGGGCAGTTGCAAAATGCGGAAAGATATTTATTGCAGATGCTGCATCATGGGTTTAAGCCCAACAAAGAAGTTTATAGTGCTTTGATCAGTGCGAACTGTAAAAGTTGTTAGGTAAGCCAAGTCTTTGGGGTATTTTTAAGTATGCTTGCTCTGGGGGTTTTGGAATTGTGGGAGGCCTATCTTGTCCTCCTTCGTGGTCTCTTGGTGAATGGAAAAATGCTAGAAGCAGCTGAAGTTATTTCAGAACTTCATGGCAAGAATCTGGTTGCTGATGTTTCATTCTAAGAAGCTCTCATCTGTTATTTTGTTAAACACTCTGAGATTGAAAAGGCCTTTACCCTTTACGAGGAATCGCAAAACTGAGGTATTCGTCCAAACTTACGATACTCACAGTCACTTGATTGTTGGGCTGCTTAATGCAGGTCAAACTGAGAGTGCTGAAATGATATACAATATCATCTTAAAAGAAGGTTTGGGACCAAATAGTGCCACATACACTACCATGATATCTGGAAGGCTGCTAGATACTGACAATAGATAGATTAATCATGAAAAACTGATTCATAATGTCTGTAAAGAAGTTCGCGTGGGCTGGATCCCTCTTAAGGAGGATCTACAAATTGTTGCCCTCCTTTATTCATATGATATGATAAAGCAAGTTTATTGAAGCAAACACTTGAACTTTGTCATTCCATTGGTTTTTATCTTGTCAAATGTCTGCTTGGTTCAGATTCTTTACCTTCTAATAAGCTGTTGCTGCATTTGTACTCAGAATCAGTGCTGCACTTAGATTGTCTTTTTCATTGTGTGGGACATTCTCCTCCATTATAGCTTCTATAACTGTACCTTAGGTTTTATGACCCAGTTTTATAACAGGGATCTTCCTTTTGCTCGTGAACGAATAAATCATAAATGAGACGAAAGGAATTTCATTTGAGTAGGATCATAGTTCAATTTTCTGTACATGAAATTTTGTAAGTCTATTTATTCAGAGCCTTCAACATCTTTTGGTATTGCAAAAGGTCATTTTGTATTAACCATATCAAGTTTTTGTTGCCATTTTTGTGCATCAGTGCAAAGTGGTTCAATACAAGGCATCCTTGAAAACTTATAGCTGTTTGATCAAATAATTTTCACATCCCCCTACCCAACCTACACTAACTAAAAAAATAGAAAAACATACATTTGGATCATTGAGTAATTCAGGAGAGAGAGAGAGAGAGAGAGAGTAATTGGCAATATAAATTATATACATGCATTTCTTAATTTGAAGCATAAATTTTATTGCTATACAAAAATATGAACATAATTACAAATATGAGGAACATTATTATCCCTTTTCCTTGCACCACATAATAAAATTGGTTCCTAAATATTGCAAGAGGTCACATTTCAACTTCCCTGGCCCCTCCTTCTCTCCCCCACAAAAATAATAAAAATAAAAAAGTGAAAATGAAGCCAAAAAAAAAAAAAAGGCTGGGGGAGAAGGGAATGTATAATGGCTTAAATCATTTTCTCAAATTTATCAAGTTTGTTCACTCTTTGCATAGACCTAAGCAAGAGAGTCAGGAAAACACCTGCATACAGAAAGATAAGGTCAATTTTTGGCAGCAAAAACAAGTGCAATTCAAATTCATCAAACCTGAAGATGGTCCTTAAAAACTCACCTGCACCAATAAAAGATCCATTTGCAAACATTTGACTGCCTTGACTGGTAAAAGTGACACCAAGGTTTAGGAGGGTGCCCCCTATAACTGTGTACATGGTTGCCATTTGAAGAATTGTAGCTTTTCGAGCTGCTCTCTCGGACTTGGAAAGATCACAATTTCAAGAAGTATAAGAAAGTGACAAATGATTTGTATGAGACAAATTTTCCAAGAAGTATTAGAAAGTGAGAAATGATCTGCATGAGACTAATTACCTCGAGGACCCGAACTCTGAGTTTCAGATCTCCGGACTCAAGCTGTTTAACGATCTCTTCTATCTGCTGAACTCTGTAAGGCATGGAAATGGTGGATGTCCGTGCCTGGAAGAATTTCACAGTAGATGGTTTATACATCAGTCGTGCTTATTTGATCGGATCTTAAAACAAGAAATTGTTAAGCAAAGGTTTGATACGGTACATCATTAGCCTGTTTCCTTATTTCCTGAACAAGTTGTGGACCACTGCGCTGCTGCTGTCTCAAGTCCAAGAGCTCCTGCAGGGCAGATTGAATAACTTTAGAGCATTAGGGGCTAAGATTTGATTGTCAGACGGGTTAGTTGTCTTTCAACCTGTGCATATGGTGCTGCAATCTTAGGGAAGGAGAAATCAGGATCCAATATATAGCCAATTCCTGCAAGAATGCAACAAGAGATGGAAACACTCAGTTCAGTGATCTATAAGTGGATTTAACATCGTAGCCACAAAAATTCGAACTGACAAAAAGGGAATTAATATCAAGAGTCTAGACTGTTAAAAGTCAAGGATCTTGACATTTATATTTAACTAATGGATGTTGCCTTGCTTTTCAGAATGAGAGAGAAGGGGAGGGAGAAAGAGAGAGAGAGATTGCACCTTCTAGCGTGGAAAATGCCCTGAGCACAAATGTAAAAGTGGAAGGGAAACGGAATGGTTGATCAGTTGCTATAGCAAACAAATCCTGCATTATCTTCCTCTTGTTACATTGTGAAACACACAAAGATAGTTTGCAGTGAAACTAACTTTCTACTTCTTGAAATTTCAGTATTGTAGCTACAGTGCATTTGTTTGAGTACAAGTTTTTGCAAGTCAGTTAAAAAGTATAGTGAACGTGGCTTCAACACACAGTGAGAAGCTAATTTGACAGATTACATCCCTTCCTCTATGTTGGAGTCCCACATCGGTGGGATAAGGGATCCTTGGTCTCCTTATATGGTCTTGGAAAATCCTCCCCTTATGGGCTTAGCTTTTGGGGTTGAGTTAGGCCCAAGATTCATTTCTTAACACTCTCTTATTGGAATAGTTCATAACATTGTTAAAATCCAAAAACTACAGAGAACAGCTAATGATTCAGAAAACCATTAAAATTAATGCACACATACCTTATTTCTTTTGCTTATTAATTGATTGTTAAGTTAGTTTGCTGCTAACAGTTGGTAAACTAGATTCCATATTATTAGCCACCTCTTAAGTTCTCTACTCCTTGATAGGTTATTAACAACCTCTCAAGTTCTTCACAAGTAATATACTGTTATACTAACTATTAAGGGTGGATGAAGAAAAATCCAAATAAGTATGCATGGGGCATGAGATTAAGGATTTCTTCAGCCATGAAGATACCTTTAGTTCCATAGTAGTGAGTTAAGAGGGTATTGAAAAGCAAATCCGTACACATTTAATAAAAATATTTGGAATATATCAGTCTAATTTCCTAAAGCAATTTTCGAAATGCTGATATAAACTTTCCAAAAGACAATTTAGGATCTTGGCAAGGTAGTTTCAAGAAAACATGGCAGCCATGAGACACTACGGCCAATCTTCATAAACGCCTTTTTAAACGAGTGGATCATACAAATATTTGAATCAAATTCCACCATACATTATTCTCTTCAATATGCTAAAAGATGCCAAAATTACTTATAAACCTGGCTTTTTTTTAGAGAAAAATTGCAAATTCTGCATACCTCACCAATTGCAGCCAAAGTCTGCTGCTGATCTGGTCTTTGGTTCAACAAGTTATCCAAGAAAAACTGGATAGATCTCCTCACCTAAGAAGAACAAAAAGTTTTAAGGAGTGTCAATAGATAACTAGTCTTAGATAAGGCCTTAAATTCATTGGTGATTTCTTCCTTTTCTTTGCAGGGTTTTGAGGTCAGGATATGTAACATACAGCTGACATGTCTCCTGTAGGCTGAAGTGCTTCCAGATCAATAAGCCCTTGCATAACCTGTGTGGACATAATATTTCTCTTATTAATATACACAAAGAATTAGCTCTCTCTCCTCCAAAATATGTTAATACAAAACACAATAATGCTTTTGGCCACCAGATACTAAGAGATGGATTAGATTGTGTCTTCTGAGTTTTAAATGCCGCAACAACGATTACAAGCGGAAGGAATTTACAATCAATATTTGTCTTGCTTTGAGGCAGGTGACAGGTGGTAAATTCCAGTGGAACATGAGGAAAAAGGTTGATTGTCTTATAAGATTTGCTCTCCAAGAGAGTCAAGCTGAAAGTAACTAACTAGACTAAGTCGAAGAAATTTTGAGTAGTTACTTTTTAAAAGAATATATCTAATCACTTCTATATAATCCTTCACTGCACAGCTTACCCTAAATACAACAACTTTATGATTCTCTCTAGCATTGTAAGTACTTTAGAATTAATGAGTTCATGTAGCAGGTTATCCCAGGATGGAAATTATGTTCATGTTTATGAAAATAGTGCTTTACTGTTACATCATTCCAGGAAGCCACTTATCCTTATGAGCAATGGATTCCTTTAACTAAACATATGAAGTTGAAATAAATCACGATATTACTGAGAATCTTTTTGATAAATTATTTCAGAGAATTACTATATTGTCAATTGTTGAAAATGGAAGGAGAATGTTTTCTACTTGAGATGACACAATCACACAAAAGTATTTATTTTGGGTTTTGCTTAGAAAGAATTTTGACCTCAAATGTTTAGTTGATCATATAATTACATATGGCCTATGGCTATGTTAAACCTGAAAGAATGAAGCATACCTCTTGATGGAGACAGCAGGATAACAACATACTCGCAAAAAATAAAGAATTTCAATAAATATGAAGAAAATATAGTGTGTGTTGGGACCATAACGATAGCAGGTATATTCGCACCAGCTTGTACTAAGACCACTGTAGCACAATGCATTTGGTTCCTAATTGTGCTACTACAAACTACAAAAAAGAAACACTGGCCTGACCTTTTTTGCATCCTTTTCGTAGACGGAATAAAAAAGTCCCAGTAATCTCTCTCTTGTGAAACTCTTGATGTCTCCCATCATACCAAAATCATAATAGATTAAAGCTTCGTCAACATCAATTGCAAGATTCCCTGGATGTGGATCAGCATGGAAAAAACCAGTCTTCAGTATCTGCACAAGATAAGGCCAGGAAAAGAGTATCAGATACAAAGGAATAACATCTAACCCATCTGATTCAAAAGATTTCAGAATGAGTGCAAAATTAACTAACTCACCTGAATTAAATAGGCTTCTATGGCACGAGATGCAATTCGGGATCGGCTATAACCCCGTGAATCTATCATATCCAACTGGTTGATCTTTATTCCTGTTTATTAAGGTAATGGAATCTTAAGCAGGATAAATTGAATGAAAGTATTTATTGAAAGAAAAGGAGGAACAAAGCAAAGAGAGAAACCTGGAACGTATTCCAGAGTCAAAACCTTTGTTGCTGTATAGTCCCAGTACACCAACTACATTGGGAAAGGAAAATAAATAAACAAGGTTTTCTGTAGTAGGAACAGAACCTGTTCAATTTCTTTTACCAGAATAGGAACTGAATCAGCCACGATATGTACAAATTATTTTCTACTTAAACTTGCTTTTATCCACATGTAGCTATTATTAGCATTTGCTACTGCCCCCCCCCCCCCCCCTCCCACACACACACACAAAATGATTGATGAAATAAGGGCTAACTGATTAACGGCTAATGTAAAACAACAACATAAGGAAAATTGAATGAAGAAAAAATATAAATGGTTTGGGTCGGATCTCGGAAGGAAACATACAGGCACTCGGACCCACTTTATGTTCCGAAAGTCCCGACGAAATCTATCAGCATTCTTGCCCTCATTTATATAATCAATTTCCTCATACAATATCCTGAAATTTTCATG